TCAAAGGGATCGAATTCTCGCACTTCCTGATCGAGAGGACTCACAACGGGCAGAAACGGGATTCCTAAATCCGTTCGCAGATTTTTTTCCGTGTCAATCCACCGGAATATCGGAAGGAATTCAAACAAAAAGTCGAGTCGACGATATCTCGACCACGAGGCGTAGCGTTGCGCCACCCGATTCTCGATGCACATCAAATTACATCAAGTTCGAAGGAGACAATATTATTCCTGTACGTTCGCGCGCCGGAACTATCGCCGGCGTCATTCAAGCGGATCAGACGTCAGCGGACAGGTCTCCGGCCAGATTTTGAGCAGATCTCTCTCTTCCGTCATAATCTTCAGCCGTGCCGACTAATCTCATTGGGTGGGCCGACGAACGTGATCCGCAAGCTTATTTGCCAGAACGTGATATCTTATGGACCTCTAGAAGAGCGATAACATGCTGAAAACACGAGCTTGCCTTTAATGGGCCGCGGGTCCGATCCGTGTGGGGATGCACCCGCGTGACCGCTGACCCTAGGATCCCTCCGGAAGAGATTTTCTGTGGGGCTTCGACACGTCGATCCGAATGATCGATCGGCCTGATACCTCCGATATGAGATCCGCTGTCATATCGGGCAAGGCTTCCAGAGCCGACAGCTGAAGCCCGTAGAGACGTTGCCCGGACCTCGTTCTGTGAGAAGTTCAATCTCTATTTCTGTCTTCTTGATTCTCTCATCATGATGATTCCTAGATATCTCGAGACTACGTGAACTTCTTGCAGCGGCAGTGACGCGCTCACCAAGGTCACACCAAGTCCGATAAGATAAGATACAGCTCATTTGGGGCAGACGACTAGCCTAGATAGGGTACGCTCCGATACGATAGCTAACGGCGGACAATATAAGGGAAGGGGTCAGTACTTAATTCCTGTCATTATTTTCTTTTATCTCCCGAAAAGTTCCGTCTATCCTTGGCGAGCATCAGTTCGTAAACATCCCACAGTAGCAAGAGCACTCGCTCTGACTCGGACCTATATCTGAGTTGTACGGAGGGATTGAATTAGTGAGCGTTGAGAAATGCTCGTGTGTGCTATATTTGTAAGACCGTTCCGTTGAATATTATTCGATGATAACAGAACATACAAGTTGATCCTTGGTCTTTCAGCTCGATCCTGATGGATTTCGTTGATCATAGAGCACGTCCATGTAGGGGGAATTTCAACGGTGCGTGCTCATCGTACTGCGCGTCGTTTCATCTAAGGATTCCGAGGTATTGACCAACGGGCTTGGTTAGTTTCGTGTGGATTCAGTACGTAGCTTCCTTCGGTAGATGGGTTGCTCCACGGTTGCCGGCCACTTTTTCGAGTGATGTGTCCGTATACCAGCGGTTCTCAACCTGGGTCCCGCGGAACCCTGGGGTTCCGCGAGCCCCTGCTCGGCTGCTCAGACTTTTATTAATTTTATCGGATTGGAATAATTTTTCTGAGCTCTAATGCATGCAGGATACTTCATGCGATCGTGGTCGAAGGTTTTAAGGTGATTAAGGGGAAAAGGAAAGATAGAGTCCGAAACCAATAATAAGGGTTCCGCGGGGCAAAAAAGGTTGAGAACCCCTGCCGTATACCACATTTCTATGCCGTTGTATCGAGGAATGGCGACGATTCGGAGGGATCTCTGGGCACGAGTATCTCCTCGGTTATAACGGGTCTGAAGTCCTATGGCAATCGGTTGGCCTGATTGGAAGGATGTCGTGCCGTCGAACACTCCAACGATTCGCTAGGTGAGGAATGTGCGCTACATGAAATGAGAAATAGCAAAAGCGGCGTATACCGATAGTGGACGAGATAAAAAGCTGGCATCGTGAAGCTGTGGGGCAACCGTGGTCGACGCGTACATACACGCTTTTCGGTGCGTTTTTGTACACATTGTTGCGGTTCAAGGTAATGAATACACGACATCGAATATTCTCTTTTCGAATGCACGAAATTCCCAACCTTCCGGGATCCGATTTTCCGGAGCCCCGAAGGACTCGATGGCAATTTCGTAGGATACTCGGTCGAGAATCGGGGCTGCTGAATTTTCTCCAGTTTCCTTCGGTTCGCATCCAGGAATGTCTCACCGATCGAACCCCACGACGTATGGTCCTACTCAAGAGCATTTCGCCGCAGCGTACGCGAGAAATATACGCGCTCACGCTCGATGCAGCGTAACGACCGTTCGAAAATTCGCTAAATCGTTCGATGCATGATAGACGCGAAGGAGTGGTTGGTGTTCATCCATTCTTCTTCCCATGGTGTTCTCCAGGTTTTATCTCCGATGTTCCGTTTAGTATCGCTTCGGCCTTGAGCCAATGCGGATCGAAAGCCTGCAAATTCGAAAACCGTATCGAACAAAAAGTGACGGAGACGTAAACAGTTACAAAAATAGCCAATTTATTCCTCGTCTTAGTAAATACTGTGAGTACACATATGAATGCAGGGGCAGTGAACGACATCCGGCAGCTGTGGAAGGAAACACTGAAAAGACATAAAGTCCAGAGCAAAACTGCCGGGCATAACGATAAAATGTCACATCCCCGATATTTGCCGTATCACAGTGGAATAGAAATCTTCCCAATATATCCCCTCAGCTATTGCGAAAAAAAACATGAGAACGAGTTTTTAGAGAAAGCATCGCCGTCGATAATCATTGCCCCCATTCCGGGAGAAAGTATTCATTAGTAACCATGGATATGATATCGATTTTTCGGCAGAAATGCTTATTTTCGAGAAACGGCGGTCACTGAAAGCTGAACAGTTGTTCCAGTATCGGGAGCTCAAGAAGCCGCCGGTCCACGAATGATACGGCAATTCCTGGCCCGCCGTTGAGTACGGTTCCGCTCGTCAGGATCGATGGTGGAGACAAGATGTGAAAGAAATTTACGGTTGTCTGTGATTGGAGGCAAATCGCTTGGAATGATTCGTCATCTTCTTTCAGTTCTGTCGACGCACTGTAGCCCAATATCTAAGCGCGCGAAAGAGGTTATTGAGCGAGTCTTTCTATCGAGAACGCGTCAAGGAGCGGGAATTCCATCTTTCGAGGCATGTATGAAAGACCGATGCTTCGACTAGTCTCGCACGATTCGGATGGTTTTCGAATTAGGATTCGGAACTAACGAGCTCTCTGTTCTCAGCTTTGCGAGAGGGAACCGGCTCTCGGGCCTCGCAACGATCGGGATGCAGGGAATAGAATTGTAGAAGTTTACTCATTTGTGCGTAAGCGGCGAGAGCCGAAGGTTTCATTTACCGTAGATTTTTACACAGTTGAGTGAGTAGGGACTTCATCATCGTGAGGGCGGCAGATGACGACGCGAAGTCCACGGCATTCAGCGAATTGCAATTACAACAATTATTAATCCAGTCTCCCTGAAGTTGCGCCAAGTCGCAGTCTACAGGTTGCCTCATGCAGTTCATACTTTGTAATCGAGGTAATCCATCAAAAACTTGATCCCCCAGCCTTCTGTAATCGTGGAGCTCCAGTCTCCTCCGTAGTCAGAACCATGAAATACTTTCGCGGAATCACATTTCACGTTCACTTCGTTTAATATTCCGGTTTATTAGGAACTGCGAGCATAGACGATGTTCAGTAGCAAGTATGTACACACAAACTCTACTTGCCGATACAATTGGGGATAATTTGCATAACAGTGAAATCTCCTTACAACGATCGCCGTTACAACGAATTTTCAGTAGAACGAACACTCTTTCCCATCACCCTTGGCCGGCTCGCCATAGAGATATTGATGGAAAACCTTCGTTACAGCGAACTTTCACTACAACGAACATTTTTTTCGGTCCCGCGAGGTTCGTTGTGGCGAGATTTGCCTGTATTCAAACGAAACATGATGCACTTCCTTCATAAACTTTTCCGTTGAGCTGAGGCAACGAACCTAGCGCAATAGGGCGCCCCAGGCGAATGGTGAGCAGTAGCCAAGGTCGCCCACCTGGTCGGGCCACTTTAGGACGGGGATGGGGCCTGATCTTCGGAATGAGGTTGAGGCTTCGACTGGGCATTCATCGATCGACGATGGTCGATGGTGAGATACTGGACCGAGTTCCAAGGAGAGCGATCCATCGGGAGTTTCTGGGGAGGGCAAGATTCTGAAGACATACGAAAAATCGGGTAATGATCTCGGGAGGTCCCTAGAGCAGTTGCGATACGCACTCTAGCTTTAACCCACTTCAAGAGTAGCATTGATCACCAACTCTACTCTTGGTAAATCACTCATTTATTAATACATGAGGGTGGAAAGGTACAGAGAGCACAGGTAAATATCACCTTGGAATAAGGCGCTTCGAGAGCATCCAACGAATACTATGCTCTACGAGAGGGACACTTCCTTGCCTCATAGGCTACATCGGATTTGTCAGCTTGAGCAGCTTCTCGCCCGATCGCCTCTGAGGGTCGCCGAAACCTGTCACCTGAAGCTTCGACAGCGATGGAAATATTTGATGGACGGAGCGAATATCAGCGAGGCGACACATGGGAGTTCCCCACGGGGATCTCTCCGATTGGGTTGTACAAGAATTCCCGAATTGCAATCCTTCTCAGCCTGTCAGGGCTTTCGATGAGTAGAGCCGAGCAAGCTTCTGAATCCGCGAGTTGTTGCCAGGCGCACCATGAGTAAAGCCAAACGGCTTATGTTAGAGGTATGGATCTCTCGCTACGGTCAATCGCAACCCGATGACAGGGAGATTCGCGGAAAAGTCGCCGCAAGCGATTCTCTCCAACTCCTACAAACTATTCGTGTTCGTGAGCGAAGCGAAAGAATTCACGCTGACTCCTCGCTGAAGCGGGTACATACGAAATTTGAAATCAGAACCTCGCGGGGTAACTCCTTTAAGAGTTCACGAACCGACTTTTATTCCATCGAACTCATTCACATGAGCGGGTGGAGCGGTGGTCAGACTCCAGGCGGGCCTTTCAACGAGTCAGTGCAAACCCAAGTTTCTAGCGATGAGGGGCTCATCCAGAAAGGTCAATTCTGTGATGACATGTATAATTCATGAGGGAGCAAGCCTCTTCTGGGGTAGTAAACATGCCTCAACGAGTAGTTCATGAGGTTTGTCACGTGACTCGTGTAGATATCTGAATAACGGAATAAGCGTCGCGAGAAATAAGTAGGATTGTGATGCGTCCGGAACACGGATCCGAAATTCGGGTTGAATAAACTCTTCGACTTCTTACGGAGCGCATCGCGCTCCATGAGCAGCTGTTCGACGTCGCCTTTGCGACTGTCATCGTCTTGCGTCTGTTCGATAAGGTATTGCAGAGTTTGCATCGAGCCTACCGTCTGACGATAGTCGTCGGAATTGGATATCTTAATTTCGTGCGCAAGCTCACATAGGATTGCCCCTGTTCTCCAACCGTAGTTCAGCGTGAGATCAGCAAGGTCGTTGTAGATCTGATCCCCGAAATAGAGGACTGAGTGCCCGACCCAGCCGGTCATCTTTTGGAGCTGGTCGACGGTTCCTTCGACGTAGACTTTTCCTTTCTCCAAGGACGTCACGTGCTCCCAGAGTTGGCTCTTAGTCTCTTTGTCGTAAATTCGGAACGGTCGCAGATGTTCGGTGAAGAATTTCGGTTTTCGGGCCTGGACGATGACTACATCGAAGAACTGTTGCCAATCAGCGCCCAGCATGTAACGCATCCCCACGTCCAGAAATTTGAAAGGGCTGTTCGTCACGATGAACATCCCCTTACCGTTAGCTTTGAGTCTTTGCAGAAAACCTTCGAGCTGGGAGTATTTTTCCAGATAAGTACCGATGTTCGAATCGTTGAGTGTGTTGTGAATGATAGGATGGATGGAAGCCACGGCATTCTGTACATCGTAGAACAAGATCTCGGGATTGAAAGGTACGTTGTTCTTGATGAAGTACTCGGTCACGTTCGAGATGAGGCATATTTCCGGAACAGAGAACAGGTCGTTCAATTGTTTCGTTCGACTGCTTTCGCCGCCTGGCCGAATCATGTTCTGAGGGATGTAGCAACCGTTGTAAACTCTCTCTACGTCCTCGCGTTTCATCGGGGTCAAGCCTCTGTACACCGATTCGAACTGGATTTGATGGAAAAGATCGATTTTCATCAGAATACCCTCCTTGATATCATAGTGGAGGCCACGGATAGCGAAACCCGGCTGGTATTCCAATTCACCGATCGCCTTGGGGTATTTGAATTTGTTGATCAGCCAATCGCGACCCAAGTCGTAGATCAGATAATGAAACTCTACGGTATATACCGCGAGAGTGTAGTCGTAATCAAAGCCGTAAACTTCGATCTCGTTGAGATCCAACTCGCTGTTCGCGAAGACTCCATGTGGATCCACTTGAACAGCGCGCGGAGTCGTTCCACGTTGGAGCTTCATCAACTTCTCCAGGACACTTGCTGAATTATCCGAATCCCTTCCATCGGAGAGCCGCCGGCGGACAGTTGAAAACGAGAGCCGCCGTAACGCGTTCCGGAACATTGTACGACTTGTTTATCAACAAGGTTTCCGAATCGATGAGAGACTTCTGCGTTCCGAATGTTCTCCGGTCTACGCATAGTGTCCGGAATGTCGAGAGCGGTGCCACCGTCGCTGTAGTTAGCGTCTCCGATGTTGATTCGGGCATGTCTCGAGTGCCTATATTTAGTATCACTTTGGATTTGAATGGCGACCTTCACGGGAAAAGGAAAAGGAATCGGAGAGCGATGGAAACCTACACCAATCGAGGTCGATTGTCAAACCCAGGGAAAAAGAGCGCTGCGCCGGTCCGGGCTGATATGTATTCAAACGAGTGATTGAATTAAAGACTTTCCTCCTTCCGTGTTTCGTTTTTGAGGGTCCGATAGTCCGAGAGAAAATACGATTGTTCCTTACTTTAATGTGATTTATAATAATTTATTACCTATATCATAGTTTTTGTTACAGTATACTCAGAATGTACAATCATTATCTCTCCAAGAGGAGTCGTCAGATCTTTCGCTCTGTCGACGTTCCGTTTCAATGAGGGTTTCCCTCGGAATAATTTTCAGTCTAGGAAACTCCGTTCCAGATCGGATCGACCGCCAAATTCGCCTAAAACTCATCGATCGTAACTGATCGTCTTCACTCAGCTTTCTAGCGGCGTTCTTAGATTAACTGCGACATCATCCTGCATTTCTTTGTTGCTTCAATATAGTCATAATCAGAAATCCTACCTAAACGAGCCGACCCCGTCAGGTTTACAGTCTTCATGTATTGCACTGGGCACCGTGGTTCGCGGGTTCGCGTCACGCACCCTCTGACGAGGAAGTTCTTGCTTTCTGTCAACTCTGAACCCTCTGCTCTTATGTAATCCTTGTCCCTCTTCGCGGTTCGGTTTGTATGTCCTTAAATTCTTGTTTGGGTTTTTCCTACCACAACAGCGGCTTCAGCACTTATTGTGTGCTCTGTCTTAGCCTAGAGGTTTGTCTCCCAAGTGTCAACACAAAAAAGAAGTTCCAAAACAGCTTGTTCTACATCTTGACTCTCTGATCGCCCTCGTCATTGTTCTCGTGATCTTCTCTCTATAAGTGTTGCTGTATAATATACCGTATGGAGGATATAGTATGAACATCAGCTCCGCATCTCGCTCCGCGTGCGCAGGATCCGTTTCCACCACGGATCTGAGTTCGTCGACAGACGAATAATTCTCTTTCGCTCTGTTTGCTCATCGGAGATGAGACTCTTCTAAAGATTTCCTTCTTAGAAAGTGATGAAGTATTCACCGTCGAGAAAACTCCCGGCGGAAAAGAGGATGCCTTTTCCGTGGCTCCACCAGACAGGTTTCCAATATCCAAACTAGATCATCAGAGGATCGATAAAGCGTTCGATTCTCCGGCACGGATGGAAATCGACGATGATGACGACACCGCACAGCTGCGTGCGCTCGTTGTTGATGCTGTTGTTGTTGCCTCTGCTGCTGTACTTCGTTGTTGTTGTTTGCTGTCGCATATCGCTCGACAATGCCGCTCAGTTGATGGTTGCTTGGGATGCCACGCCCTTTCCTCTCGTGCATCAGCGTTTTTTTTGTCAACTACTACCTAACTAAGCTCGATCCCAGCCAGTGCTGACCAGTCTCAACCCGACGCACGTCATCCAGTGGCCATTTCAGGAATGACTCCTAGTTGTATCACAATGTGTAAATCTTCCGCCACGGCGCCTAATCCCGCCTCGATTCGGCACGACGAATCGAATCGTTCCATAGTTTCGCCCCGAGTCGACCGCTCGGAGTTTCTGCGGAGTTTCCTTCGTCAGTTGACCAAGGCTCGCTATCTAGCACTTCTTGTGGACTGTGCGGTTTGGGAAAGTTTTTCGCACGAGGCATCAGAAGCTGCAGTTTGCAGATGGCGGCCCCAAAGGCTTGCGGGAGCTGCGGTTGTTGTTGAGTCGATTACCGTCTCTGGTAACTACCAACATCGATGGTTGCCGTGTAGATTGAGATGGGGTTGCCAACAAAGGGTAAGAGTGAGAAGGGTGGATGGGTGTTTTGCCGGTCGGAGAAGGGGATGGAAAGAGGGAGAGAACGCGAACGACTTTCGTCCTTCGCTGGTCGATTGTAGAAAGATTGAGTTTTTTCCTCTCGCCTTGATCTCCTCGCTAGCGATAGTAATAGCGGTCATAGTAGTTGGAGTGGTAGCTGTTGTTGTTTTTGTTGTTGGTGATGATGATGATGATGTAATAGTAATAGTAGTTGTAGTAGTAGCAGTAGTAGTAGTAGTGTCTGTAGTAGTTGTAGCATAGGTGATGATGGTAAGGGTATGGGCGGGTAGGGTTCTAGTGCTTCCTCGGGTCCGTCGGGTGGGTTGTTGGTTGGTTGGTTGGTTTGTTGGGTAGAAGAGCTCTAGTCCATCTCCTCCTTTGCTAGTACGGAGCCAGTGGATGCGTTGGTGGCAGCCTAGTTGGCGTGAATGTCCATTATGTGCTGTGCGGAGGCGTCGTAGGGCGATGGCGCACTGCCGGCGAGACCGGGATGCATCATCATGGCGGCTGCCGTTGCTGCGGGGTGCGGGTGTCCGGGCAGAAGCATCTGGTGAGAGTGGACGGGAGAGCGCAATTGCGACATGGCATGCGCCGACGGAGGATAACTGCCTGGAGGCATTGTCATGCCTCCCATGCCTTCCTGGTGGCCGGCGCGGTTCGACTGATCAATCATAGGCTGTACGATGCGACGTCGGGCATTGATGAACCTGTAATAGGATCCTGGCTTAGTCACTTTCGCTCGAACCATTCATTCGGCTTAGGAGGAAATAGTGGATCAACGGGACAATGAATAGCTTTGAATTTTCTTTTTGAGAATTCCCGGCGGGGAAAACAAATAGTCATTCATCGGCGCCATCGATCGGAACGACGCCAAAGGTATCAGCTATCAGCGCGCGGTTTATCCGCTGATCCTTGTTATTGCTCATTTCCGATCCAGTTCCCTGTCTCTGCCCACGACTGAGCGGGACGCGCCGTCAACGAATGAAAACAGGACGAGATCATCCTACGGCATGTCTCCGAGTAATTCGAGTTCCTCATAGAGATCCCTCGAGCAGTCGCGGTGTAAGCCGCATTCTGAGCGTTGTTTGTACACATCAATCACACGAATGGACATTATGAGTCACCTTGGGGAGGGGAGACGATGCCCACGACTCTAGTGGCGATCATTTCGCCGGATAGGAATGTTATCCTTGGCTCTGTATCCTGTAATGGATCCGATGCCCTGCATGGATCATTGGCTAAGGATGGATCGCATCGCTCTTGCCCCACGACAGAGCCTCGGTGCCATTGATGTGCTGCAGGAGTCGAGGATCTTCGCAATCCGCGCATGGGTCCCCCAATGGTCGCGGGTTACACCACGAAAACAAGGGATGCCTCCCGCGAAGCGAGCCTTCGCGTTTTCGTCATTAGACATCGCGTGTGGGTCAATTAGACGAGAGTAAATTCTCGACTCGAGCTCGTTAGCTACTGAGGCAAACTATCCGGTCGCGAATAGCAGTCGTCAACAAGAATCCAGAAGCCGGTGCTGTCATAAAATGTCGTAAAAACAACTTCTATCCACTTCACACCAGACGTGACAGTCGGATCATAAACTAAGAACACACGGACACACAAACTCTAAACATACACCCGAGAACTGTGATACAACGACAGCACACAGAATAACGAATTCCACTCGGAGAAGTCTGGGCGATCCCCGGATTCTATTCCCTCTTCCATTCTTTCCCGAGAAGTCTCGATGAGGCCTCGAAATGTTTACGCTACCGACTACACACATATCTGGCTATCCGAGAAGCGATAATTTTGAAAAGGCTTCTGTTCGCTGTTTCTTTTTTCGTTCCCTCGCACAGGATCTGCTCGTGGTTCGAGAAGAGAAAAAGCGGAGAAGAGCTTTTCGTGCGGCTCCCTCGGCGGACTTCGGCGGTAGTTCTGTACGAAGCCCCCATCTGCAAGACGGGAGTCGCATATGAAGCGTCCACCTGCTGTCGGACAGCCTTGGAGGCTTTTCAGAGTTCTGTTTCGGAGCAACCCGAGCGCGCGGAGCAGCTCACGCACCGCCGGCCGCCCCGAACGAATCTATCTATACATTAAGGGTCGAAGATAGAAGTAGTGCATTACTCGGAGCGACGAACCCCCGGGCGGTGTTTGTGGATGCCACTGATCCATATATATGGCTCCCTTGGGTCGTCCCCCACTCGCTGCTTCTATTGTCAGTTGGCTTGCAGCTGGGCGCTGGAGATTTATTCGCTGGATTCTGCGCGGCTAAATACCGAAAATACGCAAGAGGCGACCGGCGGCCCGTCAATCAGCCGGCGGGCCACGCTCGGACTCCATAGGCGTCCTCTCGATGTGACAGCCGAGAAACCTGACAACAATACCAACTCGGCCGGAAACTATTCAGGGAGCGTGTGAGGCCCTAAGCGATACCCTTCGGCCGAAACGAAGGCGCTCTTGGATTTGTTCCGATTCGAGGCACATTCGTGCAGCCTCGCGAGTCTGCATGTCATCTCGATGAGGAGTGTGTTCGGGACGTTGCCCCGAGAGCTGGAAATTCTCGAGAAAAGTTGGAAGGTGACACCGCACAAGGCCTCCCGTAATTTCCCTGACCAGAGTAGATTTTCCCGCATCAAGCGACACGGGATGCAGGAAACCGCGCGCCGGGCCCATCTACTCGACGTCTGTCCCTGTGAAAACTTGACTGGTAGCGCCTCGACCTGCTCGGCTCAGGATCGCTCGGGATTCGGCCTGCTCAGCCCCCGCTGGTGTCAAGACTGTTTAACTTAATGCACCCGCGAAAGTGGGGTATCGTGCTATGATACGAAACGACAGCGAAAAGGCATTAGTCCCGTCCATGGAAGGGTTACAAGCGAGTCCTGCTCTGCTGCTTGGATCGCTTGGTTTGATAGCAGATGTCTACTCTGGTCAGGGAATTCTTGGCCCTAAAATAGGGAGTCAGAGGAACGAAGAGAGAGTGAGAGCCAACCACCGAGTCCACGCCCTAAAATCCCTCCTTCAGTAAATCCTCGACGACTTCACCTGCTAGCCGTGAGTCATCTTCGAGATTATTGACTCTTAATCTACTCCTTCCCGTGGGGTTTCATAGCACTGTCGAAGATTCGCATACTCGGAGGGGGAATTTCCAGGACGACTGCAGCTTTTGCTCTCGAGCTGGCTCCAAAAGTATCTACTGATTTCTTTTCCCCATCCCCACACCGAATCGGCCGCGGATAGAATTCGAGCCGTGAACGACGCGTGGTTCGGAATTCATTTTCAAACACAGCCGCCCGGTCGCATACGGCAAGCCCGTTAGATCTTGGTCAAGAATCGAAAGCGAATTTAGCGCGAGAAACCCCGCAAACACAATGCGGGAGTGAGTAGAGAGTGCTGAGAAATTCGAAAGAAAATCCAGAGGAGCTCAAAACTTCCCGCTGGTTTCCAAACACAGGTGCAGGCCGGGCGTCTGCCGATGGATCACAATGACAATTCACAGTGTGCTTCCTCTCTCGGTTTTTCTCTCACTCGCTCGCGCGCTTGGCTTCATGGCCCGCGCGGCTCCTGCACTCGACGAAACGCCGACTTCGGAGAGCCTAAGCCTCGAGCAAACAAAGGGGCACTCACCGGAGTGGGTGGGAAATGCCATTATAGAGTATAATAGAAGCCGTAATGTATTCAAGATATGATTGGATTGCTTCGAACTGGCTCCTTCGACTGCGACTCAAACCCACTCAGGCATCGTCGAGCGAGAGACAACGAAAGATAACTCGATTTCGAAATCCAAATGACCATGGGCGCAAGACCGGGCGATATGATGAGGGTTCCCCTCCCGCGTCGACCCTTCCGACTTGCGCCACCCGAAGCTTTGCCTTCGTTCGGCGGATCGGTGTCCTGGTTCGGTTCCATACGGGATGTCCCTGTCACTAAAACACGAGTGAGGAGCTTGACGTCGACCGAGAACACGATACGGAGCCGTCAAATAATTGAACAAAGTTCCTCCGACGGTCGCGCGACAACGGCGGACACGGGACGAGCCGTGGTTACATTTTTTCCGGTGAATTTAGCCTATTTTCGGCGGCCCGAAAGCCCACGGCTCTATCCAGCTGAGGCTGTCAATCAAAACACGCTGTCGCGCAGTTTTACGCGATTGCCATGGACCGTTGCCGCGGCCAAAATCGAATTTCGCATCCGCTTCGCATTCTGATCGGGCCCGAAAGCATTTTCGTGCCTGTCGTGTTTTCCTTGCCCAGCAGGAAAATAGTGAGGTGAATTTGAAGTTCCTTAAAAATCGATAGTCGAACGGGAAGGATAATCATCGAAATAGAAATTAGTATCCCATTAGCAGATTTCCACAAGCCGAGAGGTTCGGCTCTCAGAGACAAGAGCGGAAATCGGGTGGGTTGGAGGAGCGAGGGCAGCTGCCAACAGCTGCTGGTGACTGGTCGCAGTTTAGTCAAAGTGTTCGAGACGGTCTTTTGGTCGATCGGTCGGGCAGTCCACCGAGGAGGCAAACGGGCAGGCGGGCGGGCGTGTGTCTCTCTACCTGCGTCAGATGTTCAGGATAGGCTAAGCGACAAAGAATGTATCAAATAAACTCCCGCAGCTGTCGCATCCTCGAAGATTAAACTCAAGCTCGACACACGTTATTGCTTCCCGTGCCGCCCCGGCTGCGATGAGATCTCCGTCAGTGTCATCTCTCGGTGTCCCGACGACCAACGCGACGCCGAAATCTAGTCAACAACCGCTGTCGCCATGAGCCCCGAGATCAACGACGAGAACTAGTACGAGCGACACTTGGATTTGTGAGGTTATTTCGTCGTTTGTCTGGCGATATTGATTCGAGCCAAAACAATAAGCATCCCGAGAGAAAAATCCCGAAGTCCACACGGACCGAGTAAATCCCCAACATGGGATACGATCGTCCGGGAAGGGAGCTGCCAAAAAAATAACAACAGCCGGACACGAAGCGTATTTCAGTTCGGAAATCGATTTGATAGTCAGCGAATACTCACCAGTTGTTCACTTGCAGAATCGTTAGTCCTGTATCCTGCGCGAGTTGCTTTTTCTGGTCCTCACTAGGGTAGGGGTGCTGGAAGCAGAAGAGAGAAATTCGAGTCCTCCCGATTTGGATTCTACGAGGAAGGGGCATAGGTACCTGTACGATTCTATCCTCGATTGAGTCCTCATTTCGTTCCGCTTACAGTAGGCTTCGATTGATTGGTGTTTTTCTTAATGAATACTCACGGTTAGATGCTGGAATAGCCAAGCACGCATGATGTTGGTGGCCACCTTGGGGAAGATACCTCTTTTCTTTTGCCGCCGCTTGCCGCTCCTGTCCTCCTCATCTTCTTCTCCCGTTCCATCACCGCTTCCGATAGATGCGTCTCCTGCGAACGAAGAATTATTTCTCAGCAACGCTGACTCCTTTTATTCCAATGCCGGATCTCGCGATCATTCCCACCGGACGAGTCCCAAGCCGGAATGTCCCAAAAATCCCTCCAGGCTCCGGACATGAGTCCGATAGATACATTGAGAGCGGGCAGGCTCTCAACCAGCATATGCCGATTTGACGAGTCGCACCGCTGTTCATCCAAATTACAGACTCGGTCGGGCCGACAGGACTCCCATGAACTGGGCTTCGTTAAACTCTCGACGAGGCAGGGGTTTTAGCGGGAGTCGAGCCCATCCTAGTCTGTTATGCCCTGACTGACTAAAGGTAGTGTTTTCCTCTCCACTCTAGTACGAGCAGCGGCGACAATCGACTGACTGAGTGTTTGATTGACAAGTCGAGCAGCAGCAGCATCGCAGCGCTTGAGCTCGAGTTGGCTGTCAGAGCTCGGCCTATGGTTCTCCTCTTTTGGTGCTGCTCATTCTCACTCTCTCACTTTCTCGATGTATGTTGCCTGTCGATTTGTGTCTGGCTGTGTCTAAGGTTAAACCGAAGCTCTCTCTCTTTCGTTCAGTTCGGCCGTCGTTCTTTTCGTGGGCTCCCTTGTTGCCTCTTCCGCTTCTTCAAGTTGAGAGGCTCTGTTGAGGCTGCTCATCGCCATCTCCTGGCGGGAGCGTTCTCGAAGATTCTTATGTTGTTTTTTCTGTTCAACGTTTCGTCGTAGTCCGACTCGTTATACTCGTTTGTTTTTCGGCACTGTCCACTTCTCAGTCACCTCCGAGATACTCCTTCCCCCCCCCCTTCTAATGCGGCATTGCTGGAGGTGAGGTTCCCTGTGGTGACGTTCCCTCCGGCGCAAAGTGAGCGAGAAAGTCAAGCAACCGCTCGAGGGAACGAGCGAGGAACCGAATACCCTCGCGCTGTCCGTTAAGCCGGGTCTATCCGAGCAGTGGGGAGAAGAACTGCTTTAATATTTAGTGTGTGTCTGAGTTTGTGGCAGCATATTTGATCCAGTGGTGGCATCGCAAACTTTCCCCGTGGGGACTCCGCGTATTTTCTCAATCCGCGAGACGCGAACGGATTGGCGAGCAGCCCGAACCACCGAGCCGTCGGGTAGCAACCTCTGGTCCTCACGGATCGGTGGCATGCCGTCCGGACATCCTCAGACGTACCGAGAGCCGGCGAACCAACCATCGAATATGGGGATCGACTCCAGCTGATGCTCAGACTGCTGCAGCAGCTAAAAGACGCGTTGTTGCTGCTTCTCGGACGACCATAGGGTCGGTAGTAAGTCAGGCAACAAACCAAGCGCTCGAGCGAGCGAACGAGCGCTAGACAGGCTAGGCAGCAGCTCCCGTCTCGTGGTGCTTGCTGGCATCGGCGGCAGCAACGATGGCGTTGGCATGAAGAGAGCCTCTTGCTGCCTGCCTGTTCGGTTCTTATAGTTGCCTGGCTGGCTCGTTCACTCAGGCTCTCTTGCCGGTATAATGGCGATGTTGCCAACAATAAAGTGCGTAAGAGTTACTTGCCGGCTCTCAGCAGGAGTCACCGCTGCCGCTACCGCCGCCGCCGCTGCTGCTGCCAACAGTGCTGCCGCTACAGCCTGATAAACCTTGGCTAGCTGGCTGAATGACGGTCCGACTGGCGGCGGCAGCGGCAGAGTAGCCCTTCCGAGACTAACTCTGTTCATGTCGTTTTTTATGCGGTCTAGATACCTCTGTGGCCGTCCCACAGGTATCCTCCGCGATTCCTTCTGCGTATATGGGACATCCTGTTAGAATTGAAATATCGACGCGATGACGTGGAAACTCTCATCGTCGTTTAATGAATCGATTCTTTAGTGCGTCGTACCGTCAATTTTCTCCGGACGGGAAGTAGGCAATTTAGATATTTTCCCGCTAGTGCTCGCGAGCCAATGTGAAAGCTCATGCAGATTCGTACCTGTCCCATGGACTGGAAGTCGCACGATATGTTGCCGATGGTTTTTCTCTTCGACTCCCAAAGAATAACATTCGTCGTGTGACTACAGAATCGCAAGCCATGTCTCGGACAAGTGACGCTCGGAGCCGCGACGACGTCATGTCCTCTCGTGTTGTTGCTTGTTCCGTTTAATTATTTTCTTGATTTTCTGCTTCTCTTCGCTGGAGCTGCTGCTCGTCATGATGATGACGCTGCGCTGCCACTGGACGCGACGTTCAAGAAAATTACACAGCGGACAGAGAACGCGGAAAGAGTAATATCAGCCAGCTTGGAGCAAGCCAAACACCGGAGAAAGCTGGTCAGGGTACAGAGATGAAGCGAGCGGGAAAATTTGGAGCAACAACCGTCGTTCTCGAGGCGGGAAGGATGAGACCGGATGGCCTACGGACGAGCTTCTTCTCGATCGAGGGATCACCCCAGAGCAACAAGCCGTGAGCCGCAACGACTTCTAAACTTCCCCGTGTATGAACAGCGCGGAATAATGGACGACCGAATTCGGTCTCGGGCGAGTCCCTTCAGACTTGTGGAAGCGTCAATTCTTGAGGCCGAAGTAGGGAAAAAGCCTTCTCCGAGCATCAGATTCGGATACAGGAGTCCGCTCGCATCTCAATAGGGGAGGTGAGACCGAACGTAGGCGTAGGCTCTCGCCTACGGAGCCCGGGAGCCGTTCATCACGTTTTCCGTCTCGTGTGAAATGAAGGCTAAACAACCCGTGGCACAGTACCGAAATGATGCCGGTCGAATGTAATTCTCGCTGTGGTATGCATCCCTTTCCAAGCGAAGGATCATGGTCGAGGCGTGCTTGCGGTGGTCAGGATCCCGAATCGAGATTGTGTTTCTACGCTGACATCGACCATGGGGCGGACAGGGCCAGGCTCGCAATCTAATCGAGCTTTCGGCCTTTTGCTCGCCCATACGCCAGTCACTCGGCGGGACAAGCCGCCCCGGACCCGCCGCTCGTACCTCATTACTTGGACAGACACCCCATGGAAATATTTTAATTACAATAACTCTCCGTTGCCCCTCCTCCCTCTGTTTCATCCTCTCCCTTCACCTCCCCCCAATCCCTTATGAAGCTCTCGGTGGCTCCTTTTCCGAGCTTCTCGCTCTCTCTTACTCCCGGTGCCTACCCCTCCCACCCCCAGAGCCGCCGCGGTCTACCATGTCTCGAACACCCGACCGCCTCCCTGGCTTCGTGTAACTCTCAGAGGGGGGAGAAAGACGACGTTCGGGACGATGGAAAAGCAGGGCTGCTGGGGAGGGGGCGGCAGACGACGACGATTATGCCTGACGTCATCCCACCACCACCAACATCGGCAGCAGCGGCCATAACAACAACCAATAAGGGAGCATAAAAACAGATCAATACGCTCGTCGGGCTGAGCCGTCAGAGGGCGCTAGAGAGACCACCGCCCTGCGCGAGCTTTTCAGACTTGGCAACAAGAGTCCGTTTACCCCCAGCAGCACGCTCGAGCAACAACAACAACGACGACGAATCCAACGACAAAGGCTTGACGTTCACAAGTCGCACGCGAGCACGCAGCGTTGCGTGAGACGGTCGTCATTAGGCTCTAATGCTGTCAAATCGTCTGGAGAGCGCTCTCCCTGCCCGGATCTCCTCCCGAGGAGATCGGAGGACTTGCAATCGCATTTTTTTCCAGCTTTTCCTGCCATGACAGCGGACAACCGTTTGGATAGTCCGACAAGATGGCTCGATGCCGGGCGAACGAGACGGCAGGAGTCGCTCCCTTGTCTTGCCTAGGCCGAGCGCACGTGAGTGGCCAATCCATCTTTGTCAAGATACAGACGCTCGGAGGGTCTACCCCAACTCTGAATCGAAGATCCAGTCGGTCGTTCGGGAGAAAAACCCCATCCGAATGACTGGCGGCAGAAGCAACTAACAAAGGATACCGAACGGGAGAAAGTGTTCGCAAGCTTAACCGGACGAGGGCGATCCGAAATTGAGAGAAAAGAACAAACCACACGGATTCAAGTCTAATTCGGATTTAGAGGAATCCGTCATCGAATCCGAACATCGCAATCTCGTGGATCAGCAACCATCAATCGCGGGGAAACTCCCGGACTTTCCTCTTTCAGACGGAAAACAGCGGGAATGATCTTGTTGGAGGGGAATTTTCTGAGAACTTTTTCGAAAACTCACCGGTACTTAGGGGTGACTTGTAACCGTAGGACAAACATTCACCTGCAACAGAAGGGGAAACCGTTGGAAACGATTCAGAGACGCCAACCAGAGAGGTGGTGAGCATCGAGTTTTCATCTAGGTAATTATTTTTTCGTTCCGTCAGAAGCTGGTCTCCTCTGGAGAAATCGGTAGCGACACCCTGAACAATGTTGACGTTAGCAGCGAGCGATGTCGACACGGAAAGAATTTTATCAAAGGAATTCGCCCTAATCTGACCAAGAGACGAGTGAGCGCTCAAGTCCGACGAGCCTGTTTCGAGGAATGAGTAGATCGTAAACGCTTGATTTGGTACCCATACTTTTTACAGTGAGCTAAGTGTTTCCCTGTCTTCGGACCGAATCACGAATGGATGCTGGAGTCGATGCGGTCGCCGATATTCGAGTCGTAATCGAGAACACGCGGGGATTTACCCAAGGATTAGGCGAAACTCGAGAATAGAGCCTTCCCTCGGCCGGTTACGACGGATTCACCGCAAGTGGTCGATCGGACGGGCTCGACATAACACCACACGTCGGTTTTCGGAGAGACTGTCTTTTCTCCGTGCAATGTCCCGACAATTGTCCCGAGTCTTCTCTCCGGTCCTGTTCTCAGAGACAGAAGTTTTGTTTCCGACAATCACGTGATTGATCGGAGCATCGCATCCTTGTGAACTCACTGGGACCTCGCGCAGGATCCCCAGACAAGGCTATGCAGCGATGGACCGTCAGCTTATCGAATTCCTAAAAGAATGCATTTCAATTGGCTGGACGCAGAGAATCAGAGCTGAGGAAAAATGCCTCTGCCAGCAGCGAACTTCGTCTCTGATAACAAGCTCATTTGACCGGCTAGCCGATGCCTCGTCGGACACACCGACCGATGAACAGACGAACGCATCTAATGGACAGACAAACTAAGGCAAAGCCGAAGATTGCTTCCGATAAGGTCGAAGGTCACGGGGGTCGCCAGTTAGAAAAAGTCCTCCCAGATAGCCCGTATGGGGTCCTCCACGTAGTCGAACCGCCAGACAGTTGGGCAAGGAACAACACGAACGTAACAACGCCACCAGCAACAACATGCTCTTTGATGAACGCCTAAAATATTCCTCGATTCGTGCGTCACTCCGATGTCGAATCAAGTCGATGATGAGGGCGGTCAAGACGACAGCTGGCTGTTTCAGCCCGTCGACTGACTATATGAACGTTCGAATGGGGGTCGAAGTTATGCAAGAACGAAGCCGAAGCGCGGCTCCGAAGCAGAACAGGTAGGCTCTTTCTGTCCATGCTCCGCGGGAAGACAACTGATCCAGTTGAACTTGTCGTATCGGTCTCCTACAGACGAAAACACGACACCGAGAGTGGGGAGTCGATTCGAACTTGTCAATTCACTCCTTGGTGTGGATTACGAAGCATTTTCGCTGACAACCCCTCGACCGTTGATTTGCTACTCAAGGATTTGATTCGCATGTGTCGAGTCCTCGCTGATTGCTCTTCAGACCGCGGCGAAGCAAAATACTCACGACATATGTATGTACACATTTGAGAATTCCCCCGAGCCGGAATTCCGAGAAATCCCGGAAGATGCGCAAGAGTTTCGACTCCTCCTCGAGTCGGCCCCTGGCAGGACCTGAGAAAAAGCTCGAGGAGATGAGCGATAAACGGGAAATAAACTGGGCGACAAAACGGGCGACAAACAGATTGGGCCTCACCCCCGAGAGAAAAAACGACAGCCGCCTCGAACATGTCATTATGCTCTTTGGGATGGGGACTCAACCCTGCTATCATCACCGGGTTAACCAGGGTTAAGCAGGTATCGGATCGTCGGGTTTCGACTATGTAGCAATCTACAGCGCTCATCTATCATTCTGGTCTCGAATTCGATGACCGTGATGGTTGACACCACGCCGCCGCGCTCTTCCGGATCCGTTCTCGAAGGCGCCCGAAGTGCCTTGAGCGTGACTTCAATTATTTTCTGATCTGTTAAATCGCAGATCGGGAAGGATATCGAAATCAGATATTTCCCCTAGAGATTCACGAAAATCCGGTGCACAGAATTATATGAAGCCAGAGGTACAGGTGGGCATCATATATCATGTGTCGGTCGGTGTCGTCTGATCGGAAGAGATAGACCGAATTGTACAGGAAAAGGAAAAATATTGATGACATCAACCTCCTCGTACGGAGCCGTTCCGAGGAAGGCGGCTGCAGCAGCAGCTGCAAGCAGCTAGGTTGACTGCCGCCATAAATAAAGTGAGTGCCTGAGGCTTCAGGAAACGGGTCCTTTCTTCCTCTGTGGCGGCCCGCTCGGCTGACTGCTGGCTCCCTTTTGATAGAGTTGGCTTGACATCCATTTAAGCTTCCTCTTCTCAACCACCAGACCATACGATCCTCAACGTCATACTCTTTCAAGCTCCACCATCGTATCGCTTCGTTCGACCTCTGGCTCCGTCTTGACTACCGGGTCCTGGATCTCGAATGAGACTTCGTGATGGAAAATCGTTCATTGAAATAGATCGAATGAAGCTCCAATCGACATACGCTCGACTTCGCATGGATCCACATGCAACGAAACATATCGAATGAGTTTTCGTACCGGGCGCAATACCAATCGTGGACTGGCGAGCGAAAGGCAATACCGGACTCGATGAAGCGTGTTCAACCCATCGGAGAACCGGCAAGAAGTACGTCGCTCGGAGACGACTCAAACAAAGAATCAAGCGACATCCATGGGAGTCTCCTGCAGCGGTGTTCGGAGCACCCCTTAGCCCCATATGCAGCATATTGATGTATGCCTGCGACTTGGCCACAATATGCGACACAATATAGGGTTTTCGCGCCCCATAGCTCGCCGCATCGTTCTACTTGGATCGTTGGACGCACACAACATGAGCCGCCCCATGGTGGGAGATGCAGCCGTGCTACGCCTGGTTGCATGGCGTATCTGCAGGCTGTCGCTGTTCGCTTCTCAACTAACACTTCTTATCATTATGGCTTTTTGCTTGGCTGCCGTAGATCACCGTACACGACAGCGGACGCCGCTGCGTAAACCACGAAAATCAAGAACTCCTTAACGAGCTGACTGTCAACAACTAGCCAGGAGCTCTGCTCGATCAATCAGGAGGATCAGTGGAATGATCGGCAAGAAGAAAATATTCTGGATGAGAATCTCCGGCTCCAAATCATCGGGAGCGAGGTAGTCAGGAATTCGTCGTAAGCCAGAGAGGAAATTTCATAGCCGACTCGAAATTCCAGAGGCGTTTCGAAATTTCATAGTGGAGTTGAAATTCCATAGCGGAGTTGGAATTTCATAGCGGAGTTGAAATTCATCGAACAGCGAACGGAGAAAAAATGTCCGAATAGGATGAAGACGTCGATTTTTTTTTCTTTTCATGAAGACGACCACCCGACCGAGCAACGAGAGATCCGCGACGGCTGTTGTTGCGTTTGTGCGACAAAAGCATCTAGGTATTCGGGTCGGTCGGAGACAGCGGGCAGGTGACGATCTCTCTGCGGGATACGGTCATGATCCTGTTGAGAAGCCAGTTCGAGAAACGAATTCGAATGCTCACTTTTCCTAGAAAGCATTCATCGCCACCGCCTGCGCTTGCAGGAGCACAGAAGGCTCGAGAATCCCGACGACGACGGCGGCGGCAATGGCTGAAGAAATCACGCAGAAGTGTCGCGAGCCTTGGGGACCGTAAACGGAATTGATCAACTTTCGATTCGAACTCTTAAGCGTCGTGATCCTAGCAGATCATTTCGAGAGCAGACTCCGAACAATGGTCGCGAGGCGTGAACTTTGCATAACGGCGTTCGATCCGGGCGGTGCTTTTCTAGAATTCAGGCAGGGAAAAAAGACGGCCATCGAGAGCCGCAGACGAGCGCTTGGTTCACGTTTCGCATTTATCCAGACAGGTACTGCGAGAGCGAGAATGTCACCGTCGTCGTCGAGTGAGCCAACTTGCTCTGGCGATCCGAAAGCAAGCGAACACAAGGGAGGGCATGCAGCCACACGAAACGAACGAACAAACGAACGAACGATCGGAAGAACGAACTGGAGAAAGAAAGCAGCAGCCGCAGCGGCGGCAGAAGACGACGACGGGACCCCTACTGGGCTCTCACACAAGGGTGGCAACATTCTTCTATTCAATCCCATGCCATTCTATTCTAACTCTGGAACGAGCTCTCGAAGCCATTTTAAAACTTAACACCCCGTCCACCGCGCGCTGCTTCTGTGGCCTCGCTCCGTTCTTCGGTCGATTATTGCATGCCGAAGTCCGACCCGGTCACTGAGAGTCCTGTTTGCGGAGTTCGGAGTCTTCAATACGCAGCTGCCGAAAGAGCTCATCCCTCGGTTTGTTTCAGCCGTGGGACTTTCGTCTATGCCGAGTGTTGTTCATTCGAGAGACCCTACCCCTTTCGTTTCGGGCTTCTCCGTTTACAGCAGTCGTTCGATTTAATACGGAATCGCCAGCCGGCTCGTAACACCTAATTACGAACTCCTGTTCGGCATTGAAGACCATCGATTCTGGCTTCGCCTCGAGGCGCTTTCGATTGGACTTCTAATTTCTGCTCCACATCAAAGCTGCATTGACGTGGCCCGTCAAGGATTCGCGAAAACTTCAAAATTAAATCTCTAAACGACCCACGGCCCCCGTCATGATTCCGTCGAAGACTCAACTGCGGACATTGCCGTCAATACCCATCGGCACGAGCGATTCTCGTGTGCCAAGACATTCACGCATTGTTTCAACCGAGTTTTCGTAGCGAGCGATCCCCGATTGTCGTTCACCGCGAAGCCTCATTGCATGGACTAGTTCAACACAGAGGCTTTGTCGGATGATTCCCTCGACCGACTGATTGGCACGAGTTAAGCCGAAGGATAAGCGTTGTATCCTTTTGCATTCCTTCATCTTTCGTTCTCCTGTTCTTTTGACTGCTTGTCCTGTTGGCTGCTCGACTCACAACATGCTTGCCTCCCGCTCCCCTTACCCCGCCTGCCTCCGAAGCTGACTGTAGCCGGAGCTGGTGGGTCGCTTCGCTTGTGGACAGGTTTTACCAGGATTAGTCGGATAAGCCGATACAGCTCAACTCGAAGCGGCTGTTGGTGTTATTATTGTTATTACTACGGCCACCACTGCAGCTGCTACCGGGGCGGGAGCTGTTGCCGCCACCTGCGGCCTACCAGTCGAGCTGGATATCGACTAGCTGACTGTCAGATGAGCAACCAGTCTCTCTAATTAACACCGCGCCAGATTCTGGACGACTGAGTTCTCGACGAAGATATTTCTCATTGATTGAATGACGTCGTAATCGAAGAGAGTTCGAATCGATGAGTTCGCAAATTCTCCTCTCAGTTCAGGGCCTCCAGACGATCACAGCGTGAGCGATCCGAAAAGCCAAAAATTCGAAATAGGCAAACTGCAACAAGCGAAGGCGATCGACGCTCGCCCAAAAACGTCGACCGTGTTTCGGGATCAGGGAAAAAACGCATCGCAGCGTTGGGCGGCGGATCGACGTCACAGAACTGTATCCACAAGAAGTGTTGTAGTCCGTCACTTGGCCGGTAAATCTGGCAGCTCGAAGCAGACTCTGAACGGATCGATACGGTCTCTTGAAGATTCAACTAGCCGTCGAATACCACCACACCGCTCGGCTACAAAAAGGACCTCAAACAAAAACGGCGCTGTTACAGTCAGCAGGTCCGAGACGGCTGAAACCCGGACTGTGTTCCATCGAGTGCGGCAGCACGCTCGGAAAATTGACGCGATGGAGGGGACCGAAAGTGGAAACCTATTCCTACTTCTCAATTCGCCTTCAAAAAGGATGATGAACCCCGGGATTTTAGGCGAGGGAAAACGTCTCTCGACATCCATGTTCAAGCTTCGAAAAAAAAGCTCCTCAGTTATAAGACTTACCGGCGTCAGAGTTGTTATCTGCGGAGTGCTGCGAGCCGGGCTGCGGAGCCATGATAGGTCCTGGTGTGCCTGCAGCCGATCCCGACGGAGAACGAACGTCGTCTCCTGTCGAGCAATACGAACCGATTGATTGCGAGGGTGGACGCTGGAAAGAAAAAATATATTCCTCAGACTGATCCTCATGAATCTCCTTTACGAGAAGGAATCCTCGTCCTTGGGGTTCGAAATGGTCAGGCCTCCGAATTTGTAGACCGGCTCTGTCGCATTCAGCTAGCTGGCAAGCTTGCCAAGAACCTCGAAGGAACAAGTGGCCAGCTATGCATTCTGTCAGTCCGACGGTCGACTGCCTAGCCACCTTGATGAGAAGTCGAAAATGATGATGCGCTAAAAAATGTGGCTGCCAATCTAAGGCATGGAGCAGCTCAACTTGGAATGAGGCAGCAGCGCAACCCAGCGTTTTTTCAGGTAAATTGCTGAATCCGCCTCGTCGATCACATCATTCGGATCTATTCCTCATAGAACTCAGAGATCCGAACTCCGACTCGAACTCGGTTATCGGTAGGCAGGCCGGCTAAGCGACCGATTTCGTAAGCTCAGGGAAGCGAGAATTCCAAGCCAAAATATTCGGTAAACGAAGGCCAGCTCTATTTCAGAGGTCTCGGGCACGCCTCGCTCGGACCTCGGGCACGATGGCTGTGTGAGCCCTGGGCACGCTGTCCGACGGTTTGACCCGCGCATCGAACGGCGGCGGTGGCTTCGTTTGCGGGCTTGCTATCCTCCCATCGGTGCGTCCGTCTGGTTGGCTGCTTTAGCTTGGTGCTCTCATCTATTTCAGTTTGAGTGACGGACGGACGGTCGGTCGGTGTGTCCGTCCGTCGCTTGCTTGGCCGGTTAGTCTGTTGGTCGGTCGCTCGGCTTCTTGCTTGGTCGGTTCGTCCGTCGGTCGGTTCGACCGCCGCTCTACGAGCGCGGGTTATAATTTGAAACGTCAAATGTGACAGCGCACGTCAAAAGAAACCCACCAACACGCTAGTCGGTTGGTCGGCCGGTCGGTCGGTCGGTCGACCAGCGACCGAGTCAAGCAAGCCAGCGGATGACGACGCCCCACGCGGTGACCGGGTAGTCGCGCAAGAAAGCAAGCGACTGAGGAAGCAAGGCACCAGACGGGCAAGTGCACTTCGATAGACTACGTTGATGCTGAATTCAGCGGTCGCTGGTTCACTCACATCAACGAACGGTAAAAAAGAGAATTCTTTATTTTCTGCTGCCTATTTTCTTGCTTGCGGCGGCGAAGAACGAAAGTTTCCGATTCAGTCAGAGCGTCTGACACATCCGAACAGGGAAGTCACTCTTCGAAACACAAAACAATCAAGGCGTGCAAGCACCGAAGCATCCAGAGTTCTGCAACACGGAATCCCTGTGGACTCTTGCCAAGGGGAAGAGAGACATTTGCACGCATCCTTTCCCGGATGAAGAATCGGAATAAATCGTCAAGACCGAGTGGAATGGGTCGCAGAGAATGTCACGGGAGTCTGGACTCCGTTCTCCATCCATTGCCGGCTCTGTCGGACAGGGAACTCTCGGATTTGTCTTCCGAACATGAATAATCGAATGAGGAGTGGAAGCGAGGGGCTCTAGTACGGAAATGACGGAATCTCGCACCGATCGAGAAACGAAGCTGCCTGAATCCCGTGCCGATCGGCAGGCAGTAGTACCTTGGTTGCCTCTACGCTCCCTCTCTCCCGTCTCTCGTTGCCTTTCTTCTCCTTGTCCCCTTCCCCTCGTTTCTCTGACGCGTTCCCCTCGTCTTTCCCCTGCGTTTCGTGTCGACTGGGAGTAGCGAACCAGTCAGCTGGCTAGAGGCAAGCAAGTTCTTTCCCGTCGTCTTTTTCTTCTTCGTCTTTCTCCTCTCGGTCGTCGTAGCCGTCTTCTCGTCGTCTCTCCGGGCACACGAAGAGGAAATATAATTTGCGAGAAGCACACGAAAGAGAGGAGAGACTCTCTCTTGTTCCTCTCTCGCATCGTTCCCTCTCTTCCTATTCCTCTCATTCTGCTCACTCCGCTCGCTCGTTCGTTCGTTCGTTCGCTGCTCCCCCACCCCATCTCCTCTTCTACTGCTCGACAAGGGGGGGGGGTGGCACCATAAATTGCCTGTCACTTCCAGAAGGCCGCTCCTCCTCTCCTTCGCCGCTTTCCTTGGTCGCTCCCCCTCCTTCCATCCTATCTCTCCCCGGTCTCGTCCTCGCTCACTCTCTTCTCCTCGCTGGCTGTCCTCCTTCTCCTCCGTTTTTCGAGCTTCCCTCGCGCTCCCCATTCACAAGCGGGGAGTTGCGTATGCCGTTCAACTTTTCTTTTGCTCCCTTTTCCCGTCCTCTCGTATCTTCGTCCCTCTTTCCCAGACTGTCCTCTCCCGTTTTCCCCCAAACCTCTCCTTACTTATCTTTCCCTTTCTCTCTCCCAGCTCAAAGCGGAGACGTCCCCGCAGCCGACCTCGTTATTGAGCGTTCTCCTGTTTTGCTCGTCGTCATCCGATCCTCTCTATCGTTTTTCATTCTCCTCTTCCTTTTCCCATTCCCTTCCTGGTCGTCCTTCCCCGTCCCCGATCATCTAACATACTCGTTGTCCCATGTCACTGGACGACTAGCCCCAAAGCATTCGGTCAACGCCGACCGTAACGAGCTGAGGTCTATTCCACTGACAGAGACCCGGCATTCGTGAACTTTTCCCCCGCTGAGGAGAGAATGGCGGTGTGGGAAGACCCCAATAGAAGGATTGAGAGATACTCACAGAGTTGCTGTATTTGGGATACTGCCACGCGGAGCCAACTGCCCTTCTGTACGGACTGTTGTCGTCGTCTGCTCCCGGTTCGATGTCATCCATTGCGTAGCCCTGGAATAAATTGGAGAATTTTTCGTCAGACACCATTCGTCACAGCCAACGATCCGATCCCAGTCGCGGTCTATCCACTCAATCGCCGCTTATTTTTTCCCAGCCTCATCGTATCTCAGACCTCCTGCGGGCGGAGGGCATCTTGTCCCCTTGGAGGGGATAACGAGGCGCCTAGAATCAGACCAACAGTCCGTCCACAGCCTCCAGCTATCTTGCTGTTGAGACGCTCCGACTGAGCTGGAAACGAGAGCTGAGCGTCGATCCGCCTATCCAGACCATGAATCGGAGAGCGACGAAGCAAACAGGCACCCTAGCAGTCGGGGTAGCCACATAAATTTTCCCGAGCCGACAAAGCTCGGGGTGGATGGCGTGTCGAATGAAACTTCTCCCTCTCGCTCATTCTTCCTTGATCTCGCCCGTATTCCCACCCGCTCCTCTCTCCCCACCTCCTCTCCACGTTCAGGGAGTAACTCAGGGAGTTCCGCGTTCGATCCAAAGGAAACTTCAGATGATTTTCCTCATTTTTAATTTTTATCCCACCTCTTCTTATTCTCTCGGATCGTGAGGAGAAATCTAGAACTCCCGCCGAGCACGAGCTCGTCAGGCTAAGGTTCCGGTCAGAGAGAAAGCTCATTTGAGCGTTTTTTTTGCCTGCTTATCTCGAAGGCCACCCATTGCGTTTTATCGTATGGCCATCGCCGTCGCCACCACAACCACGACGGAGACCCGGCTAACTAAGTTGGGCTTGGATGCACCGAACGTTTAAGTAGTTCCTATTCTATCTGTTCCGAGCGAGAGTCCGCCTTCTTCCCTCCTGAATGGAAGAAAAGAAAACCTCCGAGCGGAAGTAAGACCCCAAGCAGGTCTTCCGACGGACCCGAAACTTATCTTTCTTCTTCGCATTTCCTTCAGTCCTCTCTCTGGATGGCTCCGCCCGGTGTCAAAGCTACGAGCGTATGAGTTGACTGAGCGACCAACTAAGTCATCGTATTGACCGGGCGAGCTGAGCATGTGGCGAACCGATGGGGCCTAGGAGCTATACGGCTGTCTATCGCGAGGTCAGGCGGCCGATTACGAACGCCTGGCTTCATGGTATCCGCCGCGATGGACGCTCAGGCCGCCTGATAAGCTAATGAGTTCGCCAGTCAGTCTGCCACCGAAACGACTCGTCCCGAGAACTGAGGACCATCACGGGTAGGCTCAGAAGCTTCGGTCGACGTTCTCCCGCAATGTCGGAACTCGGAAATAGGCACTCGCCAGGAGAGTTTCATTTTCCCGTCTGTTTTTGATGCGGTTCACGCGCGGAAAAACAGTTGAAATGCCCGGCTGTAAGCTCGTTCGGAACCTCGCTCGATGGGAAGGTGCCATCGTCGTCGCCGGAGAGTTGATTGGGTTTGTTCATGAAACTTTCTCCTGAGGTAGAGCTCGACGTTCGCGAAATGAGAGAGGAGCCCCTTGGCTCCCGGAGTCAAAATCCAATCTCACCTGCCATTCTTCTGAGCCGACAGGATAAGGGAAGCGAGCGAACCGGCGATGGGGAAATGGAGGCAGGGGAACGAGAGGACGACAAGCACCGACGGGGTATTGTTCAAAAATTCAACGATAATTAGATTCGAGAATCCGGCCAGGAGGACCCCGGTGCCGCCATCATCAATAGCATCCGCGGCAGCCGCGCTCATTCTGGGATGGGAGCAAATAGTCTTGAAGCAGTTCGCGAGAAAGGGGAAATATCGAGTTCGAGACTCGTCCGGTCGATGCGTTGCCGTTCGTTATGCCTTCGAAAGTCCGCAGCTCTCCATCACGTGATCGAAATTATCGAGACCGAAAACAAGAATCTCGCTCTCTAGGCTCCGCAGGCTCGGAGATTTCTCCCCACTTTCGTCATTGTCAGATTCTTCTTCTGTCGTAGCCAAAAGAGCAATCGGTGGCTGCGAGCAGCGTGTCTTTACCCGGGGGGAGCACCCCCTATCACTTCCTGGCTCTCACGTTTCATCTCCGACTGCGACGGCTCAGTGACTGGGCTCACCGAATGGGCTCATCCCCGGATCCGCCGGGCTGGAGCATCGGCACCCTAGTGGTGGTGGTGGTAGGCACCGGGACCGAGCGACCCAAGAACAGGCTCGAAACACCGTGTTCCGTGTACATCCATCGGAACGAGAAGGGGCATGGATCTACTGATATCCGAGCGACTCACAGACTGACAAAGAAAAACAAGCACACAAAAGGACAAAAGCAGCAGAGACAAGCGGTATTCGTGTCATCGAAATATGAGACCATGTTGTTGTGTAGTTCCGCGCTTACACGCTCGACGCGCGCTCCCCGGACTTGCGTAAGAGTCCGGACTCCGAGCTCCGATTGCTCATGTGTCCCACGCTCGCTTGGAAAACTAAGCGGAAAAATAATTTATGCACGGCGTCAGCGTCTCACAGCTGACAACTTCGAGCGGAGCACTCCTGAATAGGGGAGCCGTCGAATGGGAAGCCACAGGATTCTCTCCCGTTTTCTCTCGACGACAAAGCGGCGTCAGGCGTTTAGTGCCTGTTACGTCGTGCAGATGGCAGTAGCCGATAGCGCAATTAAAATCTCGTCCACTACGCGTTCTTAGGTTAGCATCCTGTAATTGAAAGCTCCCCGGGCGACAATGACCGAGCGCAGGGCGCTCGTCACGAGATCACTCGATCCAAGGTGCCCTGAGCGCACCAAGTGGGGTTGATTGACGCGAACGCTGGTCACGGTGGACATGAGCGATGCCGTCTCGTAGTACGTGCGTTCGAGCAACGATACCAGAAGCTGTTGTAGTAGTAAGAGCAGCGGTGGAGGAAAGACAGTTGCGCTAAGTGAGAGTCCAACTTAATGATGATCAGTTTCCGCCTTTTTTTTTCGCTCTTCGACTGCTCCAGCAACTGCCACCATGGCGATCCTACAGTTCGAAAGTCTGCCAGGCGAACGAGAAGATTGTCTGCTGGCCGATCCAGGAAGGGAATCAGCCTCGCAGTCGGATCCACAGTCGACCGGAGGCTCCAAGTGCGATGATTGAATTAAAGAAATAGGCCTCCTCAACAAACGCTCATCACAAACTTAGTCTGTCCGCGAGCCGCTCTCCGAGTCAGAGATCGACATCCACATCCTGCCGCCGAGACCGTTAGCTCATCCAGACCACTCAACGGATGGAATCTACATCGTTGAGACAAGGGGTCATCGCCGAGAGAAAAATGCATTTTCTAACCGACACTGTCCAATTCCGCCACGACCGCTCGAACGACGCCCGACGGCTTAATGAGAAATCATCGATAGAGATGCTCGTTCCCATCAGAGGAAATTCCCAAGTTTTTCTCGATCGACTCCGCGATCTTCCATCGGGGATCATTGCAGTCGAGTAGTAGTAGATGGCGAGAGCCCCTCAAAGAGCATTGGTGCGAGTGAGGTGATCTCACTCCACTTCAACTCAGCTCACTCGAAATCACTTCGATTTGAGCAATCTCAGCTGGTGTCAGATCACGTACGACCGTCTCATGCTCGCACTCGCTTTGCTGCTCGATTCCGTATGACTAGACCGAGTTCGAGACTCCTCGATCAGGCCCCGCACGACACCACAGTACACCTGCATAATAATATCGTGGAGGAGCTCTCCAAGCAATGCTGGCGAGCTCCTGTTGAATCGAACAGGTGGCTCATTGATATTCCCGATTGCCGTCCATGATCTCGGAATTATCGCCACCACTCGTGCTTCTTCCGAACTGTGAATCGAAGAATTCAATCATCATCGGTTTCACTTTCCGCCGAATTCGGGGCGTTGTTGTAAAAAACGCTTTGCCTTGCGGTTGCAGCGCGGAAGATCCAGACACCTAGGGTTCCCTCAGGCCGGACACTGCAGAGTCGAGAAAACTCCGATTTCTTTCTTCGTATTTGCATGTTTGCTTCCTTATTTTCTTTATTTTGCTAATGAACGGCGTTTACAGCCCGTTGGTGGTTTTTTGATGACGCACCTTAAAGTCGCCATGGGCCACTGTATCTGATCTCTCGGAAAAGTGCGAACTATTCCTGCCCGCCATAAACTTGCTGCGACCTCGTCTTCGTCGTTCACCGGTCGTTCGTCCATTCTTTCGTCCGACAGTCAGTCCGTTTGTCCGTTTGTCCGTTCGTCTCTTCTTCTCTCTGCTCGTTTATCCCCGCATGTGTATTTAGCTTAAGGCTCTCTTCTCAAGAATGCAAGCGACTACCCGGAGGACCACCTCAGGTCTCTCAAGAGCGGATTTTTTCTGTAAGTCGTTGCTTCCTGTAATGCGCCAGCTCTGATACTCTGTTCCCTCCGGATTCGAGCTCGAGTCCGGGACCTACGACACTTGTCGCCCTCCGGCTAAATTGTACGGCTCCGAGGTGGGGTGTCGGGATGCTTCTCTGTTATTTCTGGCTCGCTCGAGTTCGGAGGAGCCTCGCAGTCCCGTCGGACTGCACGTCGGAAGATTGCACATTGGGCGAGCGAACCCTTTGACGTTTCGCCTGGACGCTCCGCTGGCTTTCGAATCCGTCAGTCAAGCTTCAAACGCCCCAGAACTCCGAGACTCCGCCGGTTCACGGAAGAAAAACGCGGAAAAATTACACGTAGGTAAGGCGAGGTCGGCAGAGAGAAGAAATACGAGCGAAGAAAACGAACACGAAGTCGCTTCCGAGAAAATCGACAAAAATGATTGACAGCTTAACAGACGGTCTCGTATTGTTTTAGCCGATGCGCTGGTCCGTCGCGTCGCCGCTCCGAGCGTTCGCCCGCCCGTCCGCTGGACTACTGGGTCCGCCGAACAGCTTCCCAGTGAGACGACGACGACGAGCGCTGAGAACAAGCCGTAAGCCGAGAAGGACGAACGGACAGACGCTTAGGAACACAGACACACGGATTCCGAGACTTGAGAGCGAGAATCTAGGCGAAAAACCAGTCAGCTAGCGGCTACAAGCGAAAACGGGCGAATGATTGAACAGAAGAAGACGAAAGCCAGAGGATTCGTCGAAACGAATTCTGCGCGAGAACGCATATGCACATACCTTCTGCTGTCTATCGGTCGCTCTATCTATCGGTCGCTCTTGTTTTCTCTCTGTTCGTACGTCTCCGAGACCGTTCGTGCGCTTGTCAGTCAGTCGGTCAGTCAGTCACTTAAGTCGATTATTTGTCGGTTAGGTCAACCAATACTCGAATGTCATCTACGGAACCGCGGTTTCGTCGGCGTATAGAATCCCCTCCGGAGAGCCTCCTGGTGGGTACGAGGCGACATGACAACACCTTGGAAGGCCTTGGATCATCGATCGGAGTATCTCTACGCTTTGGAAGAATCTCTTCACACCGAGATGTGAAAGCTCGGGCCTGGGCTTCGCTAACTGAGCAGGGACGAGCGCCCGGGATCGTCAGGTATCCCAGACCGGAAAACTGTATCACGAGCTTACCAGGAGAACCGAGGAATTCACAACGATGTTCCACAATGAGCTGCTCTGCGAAACCTCCAGAACACACCGGGAGGATTTCGGGAGGAACTGGAGGGAAGGACACAGGACAAGCACAGGACACGTCTCGCGGAGCACACACCCGAACTCAGCTGATCGAAGCAAATATGATGTGGACGAATGTCGACGACAACGACGACGATGCC